CTGAACTGCCAGCTCCATAGACTATAGTTAAACCAGAGAAGGTTGAGCATGACTGAGGTAGGAGGTGAAAAGGACCTCAAGACTTGATTAGCCAACCCACCATACAGCTTCACTGAAAATAAACTGAGTGTGGCAGGAAGAAACTGCTAACAAGGGAATGAGAAGAAGCCAGTCATCCATGTCATGACAAAAACAAAGTCTTCAAGAGTAGAACCATTTGGCGAAACCCTTGACCACTCAACAATGTAGGGGCTGAAGCCAGCCTAAATGGAAGGGCTCTAAATTGGTAGACTCGGGTCCTCATGAACAAACTGAAATAATGTAGAGGATATGGGTATGTTGAGGTACACATCACACACATATATCTTTGCCATCCACAAACCTGGAGTAAAAAAAACCCTTCATTGAGATAGCAACAACTTTTTGGTAAATCAAGGAAGGTCTATGTAGTGGTTCAGATGTGAATGGTCAATGATCAGCTGCCAGTCCCCAGTCTTTCTGGGGACAACAAATAACCAGGAATAGAACCCTCAAAGGGACTGGAAAATGGGTTCTTTAGCACCTTTGGAAAAAAGGTCCTGAACTGCCTTGGAAAGTTGCTGGCTGGTTATGGGGTCCTGAGGAGGAAGGAAGCCAACTGGGAAAGGAGATAAGGGAGGAAGTATGTGGGAATGGAGAGTCCTTCTAATAAGACTTGTAGAACCTAAGTATCTGTAGTAAAGGTTCTCTATACATGTACAAAATTGTACAGCTGGCCCATACAAGTTCTGTGCCAACCAGATAGTCACTGATACCACTGGTAGTAGATGGGTCAGTGATAAATACTATGGCAATGTGCCTCTGACACCTGAGCAGAAAGGGAGGGACAAGATACAGGTATAGGAGCAGGGGAGGATTGAAACAGGCAAGTGGCCAGGGAAGAATGAAGATAGGCCGAATCAACACAAGACTCTAAAGATTCAGGAATATCCCCCAAAACAGACTTATGCAAAAGGGTGCCGTGCATAAATCTCTTAATGATGTAGAGGGCAAACCCACCAATGTCCCAAGAGATCCCAACAACACAGGAGCCAAGTGTGAAGGGACAGCCCTGAGGAAGACAAATGTGCAAACATGGATAACAATAGGGAATGACCATCCCCCCAAACCCCCTCAATGGAACAATGAATAGTCTTGGACAAAAGGTGGATGGAAGAGAAGTAGTGAAGGAAGGTTAAACGAGGCAGGAATATTGTGCCTGGGAGAAATGGACTGAGGTATCATGTAACAAGGAAGGGGAGGGGTCATACAACACTGGGGATAAGGACAAAGCATAACAAATCTGCATTACCAAGTCCAGAAAATCTGATGAAGGTCTAGAAACATTAACCACAGCTGAAAAAGACTGCACAGGAAGGAAGAGGGATTAGGCTGTCCAAGTCTTCATCCTCCTTCCTAGCATCCTCAAGGTAGGGAAAAACTTGTTGGGGATCAAGAGAGCTCCCAGCCTGCATGAATGACTCCATTTCCAGTGGCCGAGAGCCAAAACCTCATCTGCCAATATCACTGTACCCATGGTCAGAGCAACAGGTGGTTGAACCATGGTAGTGTTAGTAGTTGAAGTTGTCATGACAATAAACTGAAAATTTATCACTGAATTTTGTGTGGATAAAAACACCAAGATGAAAAATCTTGGTTAAAAAAAAGGGAGAGAAAAATATTTTCACAAAATCAAGTTCAACTTGTACTGAACTGCTATTAGATTATTGAAGCAAATGTTTAAGTTGAAAAACTAAGTACAAAAAGTAACAAAATTTCAAAACTAAAAGTGTGGGGAGAAAAACATCTAAATATTTGAGTGCCAACTCTGGAAGTGAGGTTAGACTCTGTAATCCATGCTTAGACAGCTGCACCAGGAATGTATGTGTTGAGCTCCTACTGGTGGAGAGTTATCACATGCTTTTGCATGCTACAGTGCAGCTGAACCACATTAAATATGTGGGGTTAGGTAGGAGCATCAAGGCTAGTGTTGAGAAAATAACAACAACTGAGCATATAGAGGGCAGTATTAATTGAGAAAAGCTATTATATGAGAGGAGGTAAGGTATCATATCGGAAAAGCACATTTCATGAGCAGGGCAATAATACAATGTTGAGCAGCAGTACATTTGCATTACTCTTTAGTTGGTAATAGTTACAAGTTTAGGCTATTACCTGTCTGTTGATTTCTGTCAAAACTTCTTCAACCTACATGTTTTTCTAACATCATGAATCTTCATTTATTTATTTATTGCTGAAAGTAAATGCAACTAGTAATTTACTATTTACTGATTTTGTTTGAGGGAATTAGATTTATAATAGCTTACACACATACATATTTTGATGTGCAAGACTATCCAGTCATTTCAAAGCAAGTATTATATTATCAACAATAGTTAATAGTAATTTGGTGTGCATCAGTATTTATTTATTGCAGTCTGTAGAAGTCTAGCTCACTCCATGGTTATATTCATTTTAAAAAGCTCAGACATAAAGGTTGTTAATGCATCTATATAAATATAATAGTACTGTCTGTTGTATGTACATGTAACTACTTCACAGGGTGTAGATGGATCTTCACCAAAATTGGTATTGAGGTTCATTGGGTCCATGGGGAGATACATGCAAATTTTCAGTTTTCCATTTTGCGGTTTTTACCTCTACTTCGCCCTCCGTTGGTGGATATTCACCAAATTTGTCAGGAAGGTTTGTTGGGTCCATGTGAAGATGCAGTTCTTATGGGTGTTTTTGCAATTTTACAATTACATGTAAGGGAAGCAACTTTACATGTTCTAAGATAACCTTTCATTAATCATGAATTTACATAACTATTGTCCAGGGGACAGATACTCCAGCTAGTTAATAAGTTAAAGGAAAAACCTTTTCCAGAAAGAACTATATTCATGTAGTGAATGTTTCATAATATTGCACTGTTATAGGATATATTCATTTTCTTGTTTATTTTGACCATAGTGAAGTTCTACGGTAGTAAATAAGAGCTAATTGATTTATATTACAAGAGAGAAAACTACCTCTTTTGATTTGCAATTGATATGTTTATAATGAAACTCTAAAATTCTTTTAGCTATATTAAAAGTAACAGAGCACTGCTTCAATAGTTTGTGACTTATCTACTATTGTAGCAATATCTTTTTCTTCATTCATACTACTGAGTGGGTTCTCATCTATATCAAATGTGTAAACAAGACAATGAGAACCCAAGAATACTGGATAACTTTCTTTTACTATAATTAAAGACTATATATATATACACCTGTTAAAATCCTAGA